TTCCTTTTCTCTACATTCTCGACAACACGTTTTTCTTTATAATAGCCAAGCTGACAGGTGTGAGGTGATTTCACTGGGATTTGATTTGCATTTCCTGATGATTAGGGATGTTGAGCATCTTTTCATGTGTCTGTTGGCCATCTGTATATCTTCTTTGGGAAAATGTCTATTCAGGTCCTCTGTCTAATTTTAAATCAGATTTTTTTTATGTTGACTTATATGAGGTCCCTATATATTTTGGATATTAAACCCTTGTTGCATGCATCAAAATTGCAAATATATTCTGCCATTTAGTGGGTTGCCTTTTAATTCTGTTGATAGTTTCCTTTCCTTTGCAAAATCTCTTTAGTTTAATGCAGTCTCATTTGTTTATTGTTGGTTTCATTGCCCTTGCTTGGGGAGGCATACACAGAAAATTATTACTACGATTGATGTCAAAGAATTTAGTACTTATGTTTTATTCCAGGAGTTTTATGGTGTCTGGTCTTGCATTTAAGTCTTTAATCTATTTTGAGTTTATTTTTTTATATAGTGTAAGAAAGTGGTCTAGTTTCATGTTTTTGCATGTAGCTGTCCAGTTTTCTCCACACCATTTATTGAATAGACTGTCTTTTCCCCATTGTATGTTCTTGCCTCATTTGTCATAGATTAATTGACCATGTGGGAGTGGGTTCATTTTTGAGCTATTTATCTTGTTCCATTGATTTATGTGTCTACTTTTTTTTTTTGCCAGTATCAGACTGTTTTGATGATTATAACTTTGTAGTATAAAATCAGTGAGTATGACACCTCCAACTTTGTTCTTCTTTTTCAAGATTGCTTTAGCTATTTGAAGTCTTTTGTGTTCCATATAAATTTTAAAATTATTTGTTCTAGTTCTGTGAAAAATTCCATTGGTATTTTGATAGGGATTGCATTGACCCCCATGAATGCTTTGTGGGCAGACATTTAACAATACTGTAAGCATGGTGTATCTTTTCATTTATTTGTGTTCCCAGTTTCTTTCTTCAATATCTTATGGTTTCTAGTATATAAGTCTTTCACCTGCTTGGTTAAATTTATTCCTGTGTATTTTATTATTTTGATGCAATTATAAATGAGATTTTTTTTCTTGATTGCTCTTCCCAATGGTTTGTTATTAGTGTATAAAAATACAACTGATTTCTTTTTTAAAAATATGTTTTTATTGATTTTAGGGAGAGAAGGAAGAAGGATAGAGAGATATAAATATCAATTAGAGAGAAACATCAATTGGCTGCCTCCTGCACACCCCCCACTGGAATTGAACAGTGACTTCTTGGTTCATGAGTTAATGCTCAATCATTGTGCCACACTGGCCAGGCCACAACTGATTTCTTTTTTAAAAATATTTTTATTGACTTTAGAGAGAGGAAGGGAGAGGGAGAAAGAGATAGAAACATCAATGATGGGAAAGAATCATTGATCAGTTGCCTCCTGCACACCCTACACTGGGGATTGAGCCTGCAACTCTGGCATGTGCCCATGACTGGAATCGAACCCGGGACCCTTCAGCCCTTCAGTCCACAGGCTGTTGCTCTATACACTGAGCCAAACTGGCTAGGGCCACAATTGATTAGTTATATTAATTTTGTGTTCTGCAACTTTACTGAATTCATTTTTTAATTCTCATAGTTTTTTGGTGACTTTTTTATGGTTTTCTATATATAGTATTATGTCATCTGCAAATAGTGACAGTATAATTATTTGTAGTAATCTCTTATGATTCCTTTTATTTCTGTGGTGTCAGTTGAAACTTCCCCACTTTAATTTCCCATTTTATTTATTTGAGTCCTTTCTTTCTCTCTCTCTCTCTCTCTCTCTCTCTCTCTCTCTCTCTTTTTTTTTTTATGAATCTGGCTAAAAGTTTATCAATTTAAAAAAATCTTTTCAAAATAACCAGCTCTAGTTTCATTGATCTTTTCTATTGTTTTCTAAAGCTGTATTACATTTATTTCTGCTCCGGTCTTTATTATATCCTTCTTTCTATTAACTTTTGGCTTTGTTTTTCCTTTCTTTTCTAGTTGCCTTAGGTGTAAAGTTACATTTGTTATTTGAGATTTTTCTTATTTCTTGAGGTTGGTCTGTATCGCTATGAACTTCAATCTTAGAACCACTTTTGCTGTGTCCCATAGATTTTAGAATGTTGTGTTTTCACTTTCATTTGTCTTAAGATATTTTTCTTTTTCTTTGATTTCTTTGTTAACCCATTAATCATTAAGTAGCATATTGGTTAGCCCCCTGTGTTTGTGCTTTTTCATTTTTTTCTTATAATTGGTTTCTAGTTTCATACCATTGTGGTCTGAGAAGATGCCTGATATTATTTTATTCTTAAACTAGTGACCTGGTGCATGGATACATGCACATTGAAAGGAAATTAATTAGAAGGTGACTGGCAGGGTGGGACTGGGAGAAATGGGCTGGACATGCCCTGGAGCCAACCTCCTGCGGTCCCTCCCTGGCATCTGTAGAGTGAGCAAGGTCCCTTCAGCAGGCGGGGCCCTCCATCCGGCCTGCAGGGATTGAGCCGGAACTGGCTCTCCGACATCCCCCGAGGGATCCTGGAATGCTAGAGGGCACTCTGCAAAGTTGCTGTTGTACCGGGTGTAGAACGTGAATGCAAGTGTGCAGTAAACCAGATTCAGGGCAGACAGTAACATAACCCATGGCCGAAGATGGAATCACGCGGCCCTGCAAGGAATTAGGCTCCGTCCTCTCTCGTTTTGAGGTGCATCACCTGAGAACTGCTGCTGCCATCACTGCAGCTTGGCCGCTTCTGCATTGAGTGTGTGCCCCCGGTGGTCAGCGCTCATCATAGTGACTAGTTGGATGGTAGGAGGGACACTTAGCATATTAGCCTTTTAATTACACACACACACACACACACACACACACACACTAATTGAGAATTGTTTGTGGCCTAATGTGGTCTATCTTGGAGAATGTTCCAGTGCTTCCTGGACTTGGATGCCTATTTCCTTTGCCAGGTTGGGGAAGTTTTTGTTTATTATTTCTTTGAATAGGTTTTCTGTCCCTTTCCTTCTCTTCTCCTGGGACTCTATAATGCAAAAGGTAGAATGCCTAATTTTGTCTCAGAGGTTCCTTACACTCTCCTCATTTTGAAAATGTATTTATTTTTGGTTTTCCAATTTGGTGATTTCCACTATTTTGTCTACCATGTCGCTGACCTGTTCTTCTGCCTCATATTTGCTATTGATATTCTCTAGTATATTTTCCTTTAATTATTGTATTATTTAGTTCTGATGTTTTTATCTCTTTGTTGAAGTGCTCCCTGCGTTTATCCACTCATCTCCCAAGTTTGGTGAGCACTCTTATGACCATTTGAATTTTTTATCTGGTTGATTGCCTGTCTCTATTTAGTTCTTTTTTTAGGGTTTTGTCTTGTTTTCTAATTTGGAAGAAATTTTGTGTCTCCTCATTTGGCCTAAGACTCTGTTTCTGTGTATTAGGTGTGTCTCACGGTATTGGAAGAGTGACCTCATGTAGAAGGTGTCCCATGGGGCCAGTAGCACAACCCCCTGGTCACCAGGGCCTGGTTTTCCAGGACATCCCCTATGTGGGCTATGTATGCTCTTGTGCTTGGGCTGCAACTGTGAGGGCACTATGTTGGGTGGGCTGGTCTGCAGCTCATTTGTCTGATGGCCTGGCCTGCTGAGGGGTAGTGGAGGGTTGGGCTGGCCTCTGGCCTGGCCTGCTGCCACTGTTGCTGGTGTACAGAGCAGCCTCCAGGGTGGATGGCTGAGGCCTGGTCACTACTATTGTGGATACATTGGTGTGTAGGGTCTGGCCCCTCAACCCCACTTTGGGGATGTTTCCGGCCATCTCCAGGTGGTGGGAACAGAGCCCCCACTTTCCAGGCCTTCTGGGCTGCCACTGAGTTCTAGGGTGGGGAGCAGAGTGCTGCTTTGGAAGGTGGCTGGCTGGGTAGGTCCTCAGGGGAATGCCAGGTGGGTGAAATGGTTAGCAGCGTAATGGAGAGTGTCAGGCAGGCTAGAGAGCAGGAGAGCAAACAAAACAAACAAGGGGAGAAAGGCACTCACTATTGCCTCCATTCCCAGAGAGAGTCCACCAAATCCCTCCAGCGGATACCCTAAAAATAGTCAATATATCTCTTTCACGAATGACCCATGTGCTTTGATTCAGAATGAGTGACTTGTGCACAGACCCTGGGAGGGAGGGTGCTCGCTATCCCAGAGCCCTCCATTTCTGGAACATAAGCCCTGCTGGTTCTCACAACCAGATGTTAGGGGCTCCTCTTCCTGGAGCAGGTCCACGCTGGAGAGCCTGAGGTGGGTCAGACGCCTCACTCCTCCAGGCGGCCTCCAGGCTGTGATATCCCCCCACTGTGGGATGCCTCTCTGCTGACCCCTTAGCCATCTCGATGTGGCTTTTTCTCTATATTCCTAGTTGTAGAGAATTTGTTCTGCAGTTAGTTTTGATGTGTTGGTGGGAGGAGGTGAGCCCAGGATCTTCCTGCTCTGTCATCTTGACCCCCCCTCTCGCCCCTGACATTGTTATATACATCCTATATAATAAAAGCCCAGTGATCACTACGGTGGAACGACCAGAACTACTGGTCGACCAGTCGCTATGATGTGCACTGACCACCAGGGGCCAGATGCTCAACACAGGAGGAGGGGGAGTGAGGTGAAGTGAGGCCTGGAGGCACACTCTATGGCCTAGGGATCCCAGAGCTTGCTTTCCAATAAAAAAAATAAATTGAAAAAAAAAGTGGCTGATGCCACCACCCTGGGAAGAACGACTCCAGGAGGGAAAGGCCTCCTGAGGCCCCTCCAGTGACGTGCAGGAAGCACAGCCCCTCCAACTCCAAAGCCGGTCACACCGACAGCTGCTTCCTGTCCAGCTCCATGGCGCACACAGCACTGCCAGGCCGCCTCAGCTCCAACTTCCAACTTCTGGCCTCCTGCCCGCCCCTTCATATACCACGTGTGCTTGGGGGCATGGCTTTGGCCCTCCCAGCCAATAGCGCCACAGCACAGCCGGAGAGCGGCAGGACACAGCCACCAGGGCTGGCTGGGCATTGATTTGGCTGGTGACTGACAGCAAGTTACATGTGTGTTCACATTTGTGGACTCCTGCTGCCTCCTCACCTTCAGGCTAAGAAAGGCCTGCTGATCTCCATGTTTCTCTCTGACTGACAGCAAGTTACATTGTGTGTTTACATTTGTGGACTCCTGCTGCCCGCCTCACCTTCTAGGTTAAGAAAGGCCTGCTGATCTCCATGTTTCTCCTCCCCTCCGGAATGAAAACCTCGTGGGGATGAATGATCCAAGCGATGTCCCCAACACATGCCCGGTGTCACTGTCACAGACATTCCCAGTCATTACAGCCCATTCCTTAGCCCGCAGTGCCCTGCTCCTCCCACTGCCACTCCTCACCTGTCACCCCCTGAGGACCACCTTATGTTACCCTATTTGAAATGTGAGCAAGATCTCAAATGCCCCCCTGTCAATAGCTCCCTTGCCCTACCTTTCTTCCTCTAAAAACCTTGCATTTTAAGAATATATATATTTGATTGATTTTGGACATGGAAATAGAAATATCAGTGATAGAGAATCATTGATTGGCTGCCTCCTGCAAGTTCCAAACTGGGGATTGAAACCTCCCCTGGCCCCTTCCCCCATTCCTTCCCCTGGCCAGCAGGCCCCCGGGGGTGTGGTGGTGAGGGACTGAGGAAAGGAGGGGAGGGGTAAGTTGGGGAACTGTGGGGTGGCGGGGCGCCGAGGGCAGCGTTGGCGTCTTCTGTTCCTTCCGCACCTGGCCCAGCAACCACAACCTCCTCTCCCGACTCTGCCAGGGCCTTCGGGCCCCAATTGGCCTGGCCCTGATCAGCCCTGATTGCACGCCAGGCCTAGGGACCCCACCCATGCAAGAATTTCGTGCACTGGGCCTCTAGTTTGCATGTGAAATTGCATCAAAATAAAAATTGCAAAAATTCTTAGGTACCATAGGAAGTTGGAAAATGTAGCCATGGCATCATTCTTGTTCTTGGTTGGTGTCCTTTCCTCATAACAGCCCTGGGTCTGTTTTCTCCCCCGTTACCTACCAGGTCAGCATCATGTCAAGCAGGGGACCTGTGAGGTGGTTGCTGTGCACAGGTGCTGTAACAAAAACCACATAGAAGAGCGATCACAAACAGTCAAGTGTTCCTGCTTCCCAGGACAGGTTGCCGGCACCACTCGGGCTCAGCCTTCCTGTGTTGAAGGTAAGACCGTTCTGGTCTGTTTCTCTAATATTGCAGGAAGGGCCTACAACTACCAAGAATCTCCCAACTTTATGTCTTTGCAATGCAAAGAAAACTAGGTTTATTCTAGGTCAGTGTTACCCCAAAAGTGAACATAAATGTAACTCCACAAATTTCATAATTAGTAAGGTAGGTTAATAATGATGTCCCTTAAGAGGTACCAGTGGGGAGTTCCATTATTGGACAGTCAGGAAGACGTGCTTTGATTTCTTCTGACCCACTATCCCATCTGCTTCCGTAGACACTCTTCTTCCTGCTCTCAAACTCTGGACTCAGCCTGGTTTTCTTACCTTATGTTAATGTTATAGACAAATATTTTCTTAATTTCTAGTTTATTATTATTTTAACAAACATTACAAAGCATCTTTGGTGCGACTTCTCAGAGAACTGTTTGGGATTGTGTAGTATTATTCACTTGTCGTCTCCAAATCCAAGCAGAGTACTCTGCCCAGCAGAGTGAATGTTGATGTTTGTAGGTGGAGGCCTGGGATTGATTCCTTTTGATGTCCTGTCTTTTCCCAGGAGACACCTTGTTAGAAACATTAGTTCCCAGGAGATCAGCTATGAGGTTAAGTCTTGTAGAGTTTCTCTACAGTGGCATGACACCTCCCAGAAAATGAACTCTTCCAGTCTTATCTGATGCACATGTAAAGGTCGGCAGTTAAAGCACACATGCACCCCCCCACACAGACACACGCACACACACAGACACATGCCCACACACACAGACACATGCACACAAACATATTCTTAACTGCAGATCTATTGCACAATCAAAAATAATAGCTGACTCCCTCCCGTCTCTCCTCCAGGCACCTCTTTACGGGCTGTTTGCTCACCAGTGGTGTTGTATCAGCGTAATCTCAGTTACTCTAAAGCTGGAGCGGGAACATGGAAAATTTCCCTTCTACGTTTCCTTGTCAGAAACCCTCAGGGCCAAATGTGTTGCCAAATTCAGGTGTCGTCAGATATTTATGAAGGTAACATAGTGCATATACCATCTACCACATAACAAACCCTCTGTTTTCTCCAGTTGCACCCCATAATCACAGCTGTTAATATTTCTACAGTGAGGTATATGGATAGTTATGCAGAAGGGACAGGTAGGATGAAGAGCCTCATGCTAATTCAAGTCAGGTTTTGCCGCCATCTTACAGAAATCCTTTTCATTTTCAGAGCTTTTTGGATTTGGGGATTATAGGTAAAGGATTGTGTACCTGTAAAAAAAGGTAAAGATCTTTAACAATAAAAATGCATTTAAAAGAAATTTTCTAAATTCCTGCATCCCCAACTGGGACAGTGTATTATGTATTTTCTCCATCAACTGAAGCCAAGTCATAGCCATTCTGTCTCCTTCTCTCTCAGGTCAGTCCACCTTTCTCCGCCCCACTGTCACCCCCCGAGTCTAGGGGCCAGCACCACATCCTGCTGAGCTTCCTACCTCCCGGTTCCATTCCCCGCCCTGTAGCAAGAAAGATGCTTCTAAAAAACAGAACTGATCATGTCACTGTTATTCTTGAAACCACATTTTGGTGGTTTCCAGCTGTTTGAAGAATAAATCTATGTTTGGCTATTAAGTCTTATATATCTAAATCATGTTTTACAATTATCAAAGTGTTTTTACTTCAATCCTCACTTAAGGATATGTTTATTGATTTCAGAGAGAGAGGAAGAGGGGAGAGAGAGAGTGAGAGAGAAACATCGATGTGAGAGAGCAACGTGGATCTGTTGCCTCCCATATGCACTCCAGCAGGGTATTGAACCTACAATCTAGGTCTGTGCCCTAACCAGGAATCGAACCCACCTCCTGTTGGTGTATGGGCAATGCTCCAATTAACAGAGCCACCTGTCCAGGGCAATACTCAAAGTATTGGTACCTGGAAAATAGGAATGGGGTAGCAATTACTATTAGCATCTTTCTCTTAGTAAAGGGAACATTAATACCTTACCCTAAATTAGCTTGTTTTATATTTGGGCAAAATGCCCTTTGGCTACTACCCTAGGGCTATATTTATCTGTTTGGACAATATATTTTTCTGTATATTTGTGTGTTTAAGATAGATTTGTGGAAAATGCAGTAAATTTTGATATGAATGTGTGTTGTGCACAAATGGTATCACATTGGATACTTCTTAATCTAACCTGCTTTAGTCAACGGATAGGCCCTAATGTATACAGCCGTTCTTCTACTGAAGGGACGTTTTGGTTGTGTCTATGGCAAATCAGCAGGCTCACCGGCTAACTGGCTGATTTCCCTAATGTCACAGGTCAGGAGGTGATGGGAACCGATTACTTGTGGTCTGAGTAGAGTGTGTGCAGCAGGACCTTCTGTGATGATGCACACGTTCTCCTTGCAACTCTGCACCCACGTGTCATGATGCGGTGGGTCCAGGACAATTGGTAGTGACTAACCACTGTGGCTACCGATTATTTGAAGTGTGTGACTAATTCAAACTGAGCATTTGAAATATGACTAGTACCAATTTAAATTGATCCATTAGGGCTTTTTAGTTTTACCTGCTTAATCTTTATCCCATAATAATTATGCAGTATCATACTGCTAATTGGTTTGTGGGAAGACCTGGTCTCTGCTGATACATTCCTCTTCCCTTATTTGTCAATAAGAACAGAGAGGATCAGAAATATAAAATTCATTTCAATTTACATTTAAATTAAAACAAAGGTGAGAAAATGTTGGAGCAGGCACTAATTAATGTTGGCATAGAAAGTGGAACAGCCTCATGCATTTTTATTAATCCACACATCATTTTTTTCATCGCTTTTACATAAAATTATAGCTTTTACAAGTTAAACAGGGAGAACAATTAGCTATGCCCCCTCCATTTCCCTCATCGAGCTTCTTTGTTATAATGAATTTATGAGTCTCCCTGAATTATTGAAATGTGTCTTTAATACACATTTGGGATTTGGGAGAAGGTCTGGGAATTACTTGATTGAGGTTATGCTTACGTGGGTCCTGAAAGACAACTGTTTAGCGGGCCAGCATTTTCCCCTTTGAATCTTCTCCTGGCTGTTTAGTGGCGGGAACTGCATTCTACACATTTATCAAAATATAGCTCTATAGAGATCATACTGAGTGGTTTTATGATAAAATGAGATAAATGAGTACTATAATGAAACTTAATTTATTTTGTCAAAGGGAATGCTTTCTAAACTGTGTTTAAAAAGATGAATAAGACAGGCTTAAGAATGGGAGGCAGTTACTTTATAAACTTTTTTCTTCTCAAAAAATATTTTTATTGATTTCTGAGAGGAAGGAAGAGGGAGAGATAGAAATATCAATGATGAGAGAGAATCATTGATTGGCTGCCTCTTGCATGCTCCCTACTGGGGATCGAGCCCATAATCCGGGTATGTGTCCTTGACTGTAATCGAACCTGGTACCCTTCAATCCGCAGGCCGATGCTCTATCCGCTGAGCCAAACCAGCTAGGGCAACTTTTTTCTTTCTTTTGATGATACCTGAATTTTTTTCCTCAGATGTCAGAACTCGCTGGCTTTGGGATGAGGGTTACTGTTCACACTGAAGGCGATGTCTGTAGCTCCAACTGTGTGAGATCCAGGTCTGTCTTACAGCTGTGATTTCCCAGGGGTTTCTCATTGCGTGTGGTTTCCTGCCACTTACGATGAAGCGGGCTCTGGGCTTCTCCGGTCATCAGGTGAATGCCAGCAAGGTGTACTTTGCCAAAGCACTTGGTGCGCTGGATGAATGTGTCTTGCATGTGTGAGTTCATTCATCAACTTTTAATTTAGCAACTTGGTGCCTGGCGTATCCTAGATGCCAGGGAAGGAAGGTAATTAGACATAGTTCCTGCTTTCAAGGAGCCCACACCTTACTTAGAAGATGGACAATTAAATTCTAGTCAGTGAAGGGCTCGGGCAGAGCAGAGAAGGGGAGCAGTGGTGAGACTTCACCAGGCCGGAGGGAACTGGGCAGCGCAACCACGTGAAGCACATGCGAATGAGTGGGCCACCTTGGGAGGTGGGAGAAGCGCAGTCTGGCTTGGACATGGCAGGGGACCAGCCTGGAGGTGTAAACAGAGCCGTGGGTGTTAGAGGCCTTAGATGCAATCACATTTTAGAATTTAATTGCCACCTGCTGGGAATTTGTATTCTGGATTGGATGAAGCAGGGGGTGCCAATAAGAAAGGGCATGAAGTGCTGTGAACAAAGTTCATTAAAACAGCCCAAGATTTCTGAGAGCGTAGGTTTCTAAGCGTTAAGCTTGTGGCATTGCCCACGGTGGGGGCATGGAGGAAGACCAGGGGCTGTGGGGCTTGGTGTCTACTGTGGAGGAGGAGTCTTTTAATGAGCCCTAGTTTAATGAGGTCTGATGAATAGCTAAGCCTCTCATTTGGTCTGAGTAGCCTATATAATAAAAGGCTAATACGCAAATTGAGCAAACGGTGGAATGACTGGTCACTATGACGTGCACTGACCACCAGGGGGTAGATGCTCAACACAAGAGCTGCCCCTGGTGGTCAGTGTGCTCCCACAGGGGGAGTGCCGCTCAGCCAGAAGCTGGGCTCATGACTGGTATGCGCAGCAGTAGCAGGAGGCTCTACGGCCTCTGTGGCAGCACTAAGGATGTCCAACTGCCAGCTTAGGCCCGCTCCCTGTGGAGAGCGGGCCTAAGCCCTCAGTCAGACATCCCTTGAGGGCTCCTGGACTGCAAAAGGGTGCAGGCCGGGCTGAGGGACCCCTGTACATCCTGCACCCACGCCCTCCCCGCCCCCCCCACCCCAAGTGCACGGATGTCGTGCACTGGACCTCTAGTATCTAATAACCACAAATAATGTTTCTCAACCAGGGTAGACATCTGACAATGTCTCCAGACACTTTGGGTTGTTACCCTGGGGTAGAGGGTGCTACTGTCGTTGGGGAGGTGAGGCCCAGGCAGGCTGCTCAACATCTAACAAGGCACAGGATGGACTCTCGCAATAAGGGATTATTGGCCCCAAATGTCACTAGTGCCAAGGTCAAGAAACCCTGCTGTAGAGGTCCTCACTCCAGGGGTATGTACTTGTGTGAGGGGGCACTTGGCCGAGGACAGACCTGGTCACAAAGGGTCCGGCTCTGCATCCCACCACGCCCACCCAGCGCTCCGTGCAGCCCACCCAGCGCTCCATGCCCCCCACCCAGCGCTCCGTGCCCCCCACCCAGCGCTCCGTGCACAGTGTGGGATGACAACACTGCGAGTGTGGAGTGGGAGGAAGTGGGATTCCTGAAGCAATATCGTAGTGCTTTCATGACTGCTTTTATGTTTGTTACCTGTCAGGTTGGAATGGCTTTCTGTCTTAAAAAAAGAGAGAAATACACATTGGCAGGGCTTGCCACCTAGCAATCTTAAAAATTAATAAATGGCTTAGTTATTTTGAAGAAGATTGTGAGTGTCTTGAAATAACAATGGTGACAGCAAAATAGCTGAAGCTAAAACACAGAATCTCAGAGAGTATTCTGGTAGCTACTTCCATTTTCCAGATGATATATATTCTGGGAAGATGTTTTCTCCACCTTCCTGTCCATGTGTCAGTGTGAAAACACATCTTCCTTTAGAAAAGCCTTAACTGCGTGTAAGTACAACTGAGCTAAGTCAACAAATGGGAGGCCAGACCTTGAGAAGTGAGCCTGTTCACTGTTAGTCTTACTCAAAGGTGGACTTATCTAAGTAGCTACATAAACGCATATTGTAAGTTGTGTTTAGTGGGATGATATTTATTTAAGATAAGGGATAGAAAACAACCCAAACCCTCCATGTATTTTATACATCAGAGTAAAGAAAATGCACCAGAAGCAGGTTAGCTGATTGGACACATTCCTTTTCCCCCTGGAACATTTACAGAAAGTACTACTCACTTCCGCACAACCAGGGTTTCACTGTCTTTTTCTTCCTTTCTGCATAAAATGTGAAATTTATTAGATTGGCATCTTTATGTTTTCATAAGTAAGGAAGGCATGAGGCTTTTAAAATAATTAAAAAAATAGAAGCGACAAGACATTCTCATTGAAAGTATGTTATGGTATCAACAGGAAAATAAAAGTATGCCTCCTACAGGTTTATTTCCTGTGGGGACAGGTTCAGGTCAGGGGGCGGCGCTCTGCGGTTGTTTTAGGAGAACCCCACTCATGTCCCTGCCTCAGCCTGGCCCTGTGCAGTGTGCACGCGGAGCTTCAGTGCCCAGGCCGTTCAATCACCTGCTCACCCGCAGGGCACACTCTTGGTTGGTTCGCACCTCGTTGTGAGCTTGTTAGTCCATCTTTAATTCATAAAGGAATGTGCAGCTTTCATTTTGGCTCCTGTGGTGGCTCTGATGTCTGTCTCTTCTGAGAGAACATTTGCACAGTGAAGCTCGGGGAGCAGGCGCCTGCTCGGGGCACCGCCCTGTGCGCCCTGCTAGCCGCAGGCCGGGCTTCACAGTGGAAGCACTTCCCGCCCAGGGCAGCTTGCTCTTTACGGAGGCTCTGCGAGTCTGTCTCCAAACAGGCACTTCATGTTTTCCAAGTAAATAAAACGGGTGAGTAATTTCACAAGAGCTTGACCGTATATACTTCCTTCTTTTACTTATTTAGATAAATTCAATGTAAATCTTTAAAGAAAATACTAGAAAAACAATATTCTTCTCTGTAGTTAAGAACTGGCATTTTTTTTTTTTCTGTGGTGAACGCCTGAATCATCCCATCGTTTCTTCTCCTCCAGCACCTTTCCTAGGGGTGCACGGGAGTGTTCTTGGTCCCCCTGAGTCAGTAGGGAAGCACTGACATTTCCCTGCTGTGAAGCGGAGAAAATGTGATGCACTCTGTTTTCTCTGCAGAGAATTGTTCCCAGATCTCTCCCTGCACTCATACCTTTTGGACCCCTTTATAGTGCTCTACAGTCCTCTGCCTGCTGCCCCTTCTAAGACTCACGCCTCACCTGTTCTTCTCTCTCATACTCCTTTCTGCCCACAGCCTCTCCTACTGCCCTGCCAGGCGGACTCTGCCTGGTGCAGGTGTCCCTGGCTCCCTGCCCTGCCTTCCTCACGCACTATCCATGGCTCCCTCCTGCTTAGAGAGCCCGGTTGAGTCTAAACCCGGCCTTGGAGCCCCTGGAGATTGCTTTCTACACCACCCTCCTCAGCTGAGTGCCCGGGCGGCCTTGCTGACCCCCCTTCGGCCGCATGGTCTGCTGGCTTCCAGGGTGGCCACTCACTGTCCCACCGCTCCTCCTGCCCCCACGAGGACAGGTCACTGACCGTGTGCCCATCAAGGCTTCTTCTGACTCACCCACGTGGCTCTGATTCCTCTGAAGAGTATAGAGTCCCCTGCTGAGTGAAAGCCAGGGTCTAGGGAACAGCTTTAAAGATAAGATAAAGTATTTTAGATTCAGCTTTAATGCTGTATAAATATAACCAAGCTCTGTCAACATTTATGAAACTTCTCCAGTCCTGTGGATGGTATTTTAAGTTGGGGGTTGAGAACCATCTCTTGTCTTTATATCCACTTGGGACCAACCACGGTGTTCAGGAATAATGACTCAGTGGCAGCTCTATAAACATGGCCAGACGCTGGGGAGCACTTGTTAATCTAGCTGTTGTACATGTGGCATAGGAGACAGATGGGAGGAGAGAGAGCACTAGAATCTAATCCTCCTCTCTTATTTAACTCACGTTACCGAAGGCTCTGGTGTTTATTCCTGGAATCTTCTGCTTCCATTTCCTGCTTCTGAGTGTTGTTGGGACAATCAAAAGAGGGACAGTAGGTAAAAGCGCTTTGAAAAATGGCAAAACTCCATCTAGTTTGAAGATGAAAGTATTGTGATATCTGGGGCTGAAAGGAATACACGTTCTCAGTTTCCCGCAATGTGTCCAGTGGCAGTCTCTCAGAAAAAATAACCCATTCAGTTACTTTCCCTCTCAGTGTTGGCGCCATCTGATTTAACTAGCAAGTGGTTATCCCAAATCGCAAAATGCCCTACTCAGGTTATTGGTTTTGATGGGACTGATGACATAAGGAGCTCAGGATTTGGCCAGAATCGAGAATTTTCTGCACTTCCACTTTTCTGCATCAGGGTAGACGCAGTGTCCGGCCACCACAGCTGATAATGAAATCATGCTGTGCCCTCATCATGCTGCACCACAGTTGCCTGACAGAGGAGTCTCATGCACTGGCTCGCTGTGTCACCTACTTTCATCCCTGGTTCTATGCAAGGGCTTGTTTCACTAGAGATCCCCGGTGTGAGGGAGCAGCTGTATACAGCGGTGGGCAAAGGGAAGCATACAGTTCATATGGAAAATAATACAGTAATTAATAAATAATAATACAGAATAAGCTCTGTTTTGTGTACTCACAACTGTAGACCTGCTTTCCCCCACTGTATTTCCAGGTTGGAGCATGGGTGCAGGGTCAGACTGCCTCCATTCAATGTTGCTTGACTCTCTTCAAACTCTGTGACTTTGGACAAGTCAATACCTCAGGGCCTCAGTTTTCTCTTCTCTGTAGAATGCAAGAAGATAATTTTTAACCTCAGAGGTACAGCTGTATTGAAATTAGAAAATGCAGGGAAGCCAATTAGCATGCCAGGCCCTCAAGGAAAGGATTTATAAAGATTTCCTTGAACTTGAATTTCAAACTTCTCAGGCGGTAGTAGTTTAAGGGAAATCCAATGGGGGATGTTTTCTATTAGCGTTGCTGTTTCAACAAGAAAAACAGGGCTAAGATCCTCTCTATTTCTCCCCCCACCCTCCCAGCACCCCGGCCCCAGCACCCTGTCCTTACCAGCCTATTGGCTGGGCTCACCCTTAAAAATCAGTCACGATCCTTTTGTCCTTTGATTCTGTGGGAATAACCAGCCAAGTTGCTGGTGCTTTCTTGACTTGTCTTCTTGTGCTTCTAAACCCAGAGGACTCAGAGGGTTGCTACTTCCTGCTCCATGGGCTTAAAACACAAATACTTTTACTGGTCGCCCCCTGCAGGCATGCTGAGGTAAAGGGAAGTGAATTCACAGGTGAGCTGGATAGTCTAGAATGTGGCATTGAGGGGCCATTGGGACCCCCGTGTTGCAGTGCTCAGCACCTGCTGGAAAGGATGAGGAGATGAGCACCGTGTGGGTTGGAAATGTTGACTGTTGTTAGTCTTTGCTATTGACAACAAAAACCATTAAACATAACTTTGCACCATCCACATACAGCCTACCACCAAAGATGAGGACCACAGTAATAGCTAACGCTTTCCGAGAATGGAAGTGACTGCCCCAAAGTCACTTCCCCCAAAGCCAAGACTTTCACATGAATTTGCTTTATCCTTCATATCTTGTGGCGAGGTTCTATTTTTATCCCCATTTTACAGATGAACAAAATGAGGTGGAGAGCAGTAAAATAATGAGTTCAATGTCACTTGTAAAAAGTGTCACAGCCAGATTCAGACCGAGGCAGGCCTGCCCTGAAGCGTGAGATCTCACTAACTCCGCTGTGTCAGTGAGGTCAGCGTGCTCCTCTGTGCTGAGCTTCATGTTGTCCACACTGGCAGGAAGAAGCAGTGTCACCCGCAGCATTTGGCCTTTGTTTTCCAGCTTCCATCGTGGTTCAGAAGTGGTGGTGTCACATGGATCCCTGTTTGGAAGGAGAGGATTGCAAAGTGCTGCCAGATGACTCAGGTTGGGCCTGTAGCAGTGGCAATAAAGTCAAAACTACAAAGGCAAGTACAGACAAAGCAGCCGCATGGTGCAACCTCAGCACTAGTAGCCATGGTCCCCTTTGGTGTTATCTGGCCATCAGTTATATTGGCAATCTTGCATGGGCAAGGCCACCCATCTGTGACTTTGGCCTTTCTGGAATGTCCTTTCCCCAGCATAACTCTTTATGTCAGACTAGAGACCCAGTACATGAAATTCCTGTATGGGTAGGGTCTCTAGGTCTGGCTGGAGATCAGGGCTGATCAGGGCCTTCCGGCTGCTGGCTGGGCCTTCCCTTCCCCGGCTGCTGGCTGCCAGCCAGGGCCTTCCTTCGTTGTGCCCCCCTGGTAGCACACATAGCGAGTGATCCACTCCCAGTCTCCGGTCGAACTCCTGGGGGGACACTTTTAGTTTTGTGTGTGTGTATATATATATATAGATTATATTGAACAGTGACTACGACAAATAAGCTGATGTAATATTTTATATCCAGGGCAGTGGGAGGTCATGGAGTCATTGTTGGTGGAGGAAGGAGGTTGACACTCCCATCATTTCTATGGGCTCCACCTCTAAGTCAATCCCAATCCACTTCCAACCTATGTAAACTCAGCGTGCTTGCTAAGCAAACCTCACCTTCAAAGCATTCCGTTGTCCTTTTCCCAGTGGCCCCTTCCAGCCATTTCCCTAACCCCTTCCTAAATAAAAATTTTGGAGTTACTGATGACCTAGGGTCCTACATCCATCAATGATAATGTTTTTCCTTCACTGTATTTCTTGTAGACTAAGAAATGACATTTCAGAAGATTATACTTGTATTGATTTTTACATATAAATATGAAACAAGCCCATGAGCACAAGCCATGTTCCAAAAAAGGTTTCTAAGTAGCCTCTTGCCACAGCACTCCCTCTCTGTTTATGTGCAGTCAGGGAGGGCATTTGCAGGAAGCCAACCTTCAGGGCATTTTGGCTGTGTGTGGGGGAGATGAGTTTGTTGTCGCGAAATCCTCAACGGAAGTGACATTTCATTTGGCACTTCGAAAAGTGGCAGAAACATAATACAGTTCCCTAAGCTATCGTGATACTTAGCTTTTTTTTTACTTTAGTGATATGCCACCTGAGAATAATCTCAAAGTTGTAAAACTTTGTTTCCTTTATTAATCCAAGTCGGTGTGCCTTGGGCTGCATAAGACATTTTATGTCTTTTATGGATCTGATGCAGGTGCAGTAATTCATCTGTGGAGCTGTGACCAGCTTCTGTGCGAGCGCGGCACCCACAGAAACGATTTCTGTGTCTTAAAATCAATGCTGACCTCACACCGCAGTGAGACAGGGCTCCCGTGAAGGCAGAGCTGCGGCCTCCCTGGGGGAGGGCTATCAGCTACCGAACAAAATAGTTCCCACTTTCCTTAGGCGGTTCATCCACTACAGCGTCAAAACAAGGAAAGGCTAAAAAGTAGGCTTGTCGACAGTAAGCCGCCTATGTCAGAGTTTTATTTTCCTTTAAATGTAAATAAGAAAAGAGTAAGCAGTTAACTTGAGACATTAACAGCCTTAGGTGATGGTATGAAATGAGAAGGGATGGTTCCGGAAGCAGTCCCTGGTCTTTCCTGAGCATAAAAGGTTAGCATTCAGTTTATTCTACCCGTGCGGTTTTCAGGGTCCCGAGAGACGGTGCGGTGATTTCTTCTTGTGGGAAAATGTAACTGTCTCTGCAATCCCACCTCCACTGTCCTTTTCTCAATTCTGAGTTGCACTGTCTTCTCGGTGCCGTATTAAGTGCCTGATGTCCGCTTAGCACCAAAGCCAGCCATTTGCCAGGACTTTCTGTTATTTGAAAATAGAAGTAAATCATATTGAATTTGAAGAATTTTCAGATTTTTACAACATCTCCTAAGGGTGAAGAACAGTATCTTTAGAGCAGTAGTTCTCAACTAGGGGCATTTTTGCCTTCAAGGGGCGATCTGACCAAGAGTCGTTGGTCCCGGAGTCATTAGTGCTGAGAGTGACGACGTCTGCATTAGAGAGCCGTCTGTATTTCCAGTAGCTCTTTGCAAGCGTCCCACCTGATTTTCCTACTTCATTTTGATCTTCAAGGTTTCTGCTAAGTGTCTAAATGTTTCCAGTATTTTACATTGGACACCCAGAGTAGGCGTTAGGAATTTAAACAACAGGGGCATTCTTCAGCATCTGTCAACCTCACCATCTAAGATGACCGGGTCCTTCTGGTATTGTCCTCAGTGGCCCTTTAAGGGGTGGATCCCTTTCTCTTTGTCTCCTGGGCTGTCACCATGGGCCATCTTCATCCTCTTCTGCTACCATGCTGTAAGAGTTTTGGTATCAATTGCTATAGAAAACGTATCATGGGAACTTGTTAGAAGTGCCCTGCTTTGAGCCCCACCCCGAGGATATTCTGGGACAGTCAGTCTGGGTCGGGCTTAGGAAACCACACTAGCAGCGTTGGGGTGATTCTGATGAGCAAGCTGGATGAGAACGCGCTGTTTCTCCGAGCTCCCCACCTGCCCCTGTTCTCCCCTTTATTTGGCTTCTCCTCTGCTTTCTGTTGCCACCCGAGTTACCTCCCTGCCCAGATTCTTCCTTGATGAGAGACCATTAATGGGCCCCCAGGTAACAGGTGGAAAATACAAAGTATAAGCATTTTGGGAGGAGCCTTCATTGCCACCCACCCAAGAGGCCGTGTTCCCATGCCCGTTGCTTTTTTCTTCACACCCCCACCCCTTCTTCCAAAATTCCTTTTGTCTTTCCAGGTCCAGCTGAGGTGGCTCCTTTCCCCTGGGGTTGGTCTTCCCTCATCCCTACGGCCAGAGTGTAAAACACGCGGTCCCCTGTCACAGGACAGTGGAGCTGATATTGGCCTGCCAGCAATATCCACCCACATTCCAAAGTAACATGGACCTTCCTTATACAATCAGCAAAGCCACAGATTTACAGGAAAATAAATCCACCCTTCAGTGTAGATGGGCTCCAAAATGAGCGGGGCCTGGCGAATGAGCTTCCCGAGGGAGGATGCTTTTGAGAGTGATCCTAGATGTAGGCCAGCACTTGGCTGTAAACACTGTTAGGGATGTACAGATGATGGGGTCCGGAAAGAGCTGTTTCCTGAGTGTCAGCCGCATGCCCGGCACTGGGCCGCGCTCCTCAGGCCACTGTCTCATTCACTCTTCCCTGCAGCGGAGGGAGCAGGTGCTGTTTCACACTTAGCAGACGAAGAAGCGAAGAAAGACAGTCCTCCCCATCTCGGGAAATGACTGACTCAGTCAGGATTTTCGAGCCAAGGACTGATTCCTCTTTCTGTCACATCCTTCGTCCTATTTGTCAGAAGTCCTGCTGGCGTTGCCTTTCCTCATCTCAGTCACAGCGACTCCTTTACATTGCATCAGGCCGTGCGCTCCTGTGCCATCTTTGAACCACAGTCAGGGAGAGGCCACACCCCGTGCATGGCCGGGGCTCCTTGCAGTCACCCCCCTCTCCCCTTGGAAGGCTCTTCCTGCAGAGTCGGCGCTCCCGCCCCTCCTGCAAGTGTCTCCTGACATCTCCTTCCCTCACACTGCTCTGCACACAGGAGCCTCCCACCGCCTGCCCAATGTCTCCTCATACCGATGACTGTCCGCCATAGCACGTCACCTTCTGATGGACCATCTATTTGCCTGTTTGTGCAGTACTTTCCTCCAGAAAAGAGGTCAGCAAGCTATGGCTTGCCCGCCCAAACCGCCCTGGCCTCTTCTTGTATGGCCTCTGAGCTAAAAATGGGTTGCACATTTTTTATTTGTTGAAAAAGTAGGAAAGAAGGAAAATAATATTTCACAACACATGAAAATTCTATGAAATCCAAATTTCCAGGTCCATAATAACATTTTATTAGAACGAAGCCATGGCCCTTAGTCAATATCGCATTGTCTATGCTGCTTTTGTGTGTGAAGGTGGCGTTGAGAATGTGTGACAGTGACTGCGAAGCCTGCACAGGAAGCATGCTCACCCGCAGGCCCAGTGGAAAAGTGTGCCAGCCCTGCCCCAGGGCGGCCCCGTGAGGATGGCCGGTGTTGGCCCCGTTAGCTGCAGTGTTCCAGCGCAAACATGAGAGCCCTTCTACTGCAGATGCATAAATAAAGGCCTCTCCGCCCGTTAGTCGGGAACCTGGGGTTTGACTAAAACCTGATTGGGTCTAAAGACCAGCCTTGGTGACTGTGCTATCAAATAACATAATTTACTTTGAAAATATTTCTGGTGGAGACCTATTAAAGTCCTAAGGTTTTTGCTTTTTCATTCTAGCTGGTGTATTGATCAACCTGTAAAATTTCTTATCAAACTATAGAAACTGCTGGTCTATGTTTTTAGATTTCAAGTAATGAGCCTGAGGTGTTTCAAATGAAAAAAACAACCACCTTTTGAATAGGTGTATCTTTCCAGTAATTACAGCAGTTTCATAAAATAACTTCTTCTTTAAAAATGCAAGTTAACTACATTAAAAAATAACAAAGGCAACATTTCGGTCCTGACATCTGCTGATTTTCATCGGCATTCATTACACAGAATTCCAGCACCGTTAACGGAGCACGCTCAGCACGTGCGAGTTAGCCCCATGGGCCTTGAATAGGATTTTTGTGTCTCCACAAATACAAAGCGAGGACACATAATAGCACGTGTGGGAACCTTTGTGCATGTTGTCTTTGCAACCTACACACAGGAAGTGCAAAGAAGAATCTGAAGAGCTGATTTGGGGAGGTTGGTTATGTGAAGGTGCATAACCTGCACACAGTGACACAGGTGGGCGTGGAGGTGTGGGCAGGAAGGACTATGTCG